CATACTTTTGTGGTTCTAAGTCCGTTGCACCCACCGCATTCCAAAGAGTTGAGTTAGAGCGGGAATAGCAAAAAATAAAAAAGAGGACACCAACGAGTGTCGCGCGCCACTACCAACGGATTTAATGGCATGATTTGGCCGCAAAAGAGACACACACAAGAAAAGGAACACTCAAACGACAAGCACAGGCGGCACTTCCAACTCAGTTGGAAGTGCCGCCTGTGCTTGTCGTTTGAGTGTTCCTTTTCTTGGTGTGTCTCTTTGCGCAATCATGCATTATTACACTAGGCACTCGTACCAACGATCACTGTAACACTGTATATAATTCGCATACATATTCCAGATCGTTACCCCTTATTTGGCTTCATTATCTGCTGAATTTCTTCAAGATTATGGCAAATATGTTCAGAATCAGCGCTCATTGTGGTACAGCCATATATGTGTAGACTGTGGCCATTTGGTGTTCAAGGCAACCCGAAACAAGGCTAAATAACTAAGTAAATAAAGAAAATTATTATACACTTGGAGTCGCGGTTTGATTTCGGCAGTCACATTTTTCAATGGAGCAAAAAATACCCATGGCCTCGAACTTTGATTAAGTATAGTGGTTTAAAGAATATACAGGTGGCAGAAATTTCCATTTTGTATGACGTGCCTCGAATCCTGCGTCGCCCCGCCACGGTGGTCTAGTGGCTAAGGTACTCGGCTGCTGACCCGCATGTCGCGGGATCGAATCCCGGCTGCATTTCCGATGGAGGCGGAAATGTTGTAGGCCCGTGTGCCCAGATTCGGGTGCACGTTAAAGAACCCCAGGTGGTCGAAATTTCCGGAGCCCTCCACTACGGCGTCTCTCATAATCATTTGGTGATTTTGGAACGTTAAACCCCACATATCAATCAATCGTATCGTGCGTCTCGGTGCGGTAAACCTAGAGAACTATTACCGTTAAGGAAAAAGTAGGCCAGTTTCCAGCACAGCTCGTACTACCTTTCTCAGCGACGCCTGAGAAGTGACTATGGCGACACATCAGAATAGCTTCAACCGATGCGTGTCCTATACCCAACAATAATGTCAGTAGATGAATCGGCCATGCCAATGACGCCAGAAGCGATTTCTACAGCATTTGTCAACTGCGTACGGGTGATGCAGTTCAAGAATGAAATGAAGGCTGCGGAGCCTAACTGGGCATGTGCCACCGCTGAAGAATGTAGTCCCGCGGTTGCATCCATATTTTGTACGTGAAGATCATGAAAAAACTATTACTTCATTTTCTACGGGATGTTGATTATACGAAGACGCACCAAACGTCAATCACATAATTCTTTTCTTCATGCAGTGCCATTTACACTTGTGAAAACGTAGCTCGTTTACGTATGCCTCACTGTCGAAATGGCGTCTTCGTCTTTGGATGTGCGCTCGTCGCCATCCAGCTACTTCTACGACTCGTCGACGGATCTCGTGAAGAATTTAACTCACGAATGGCTGTCTGAGCAGACGCAGTAAATTCAGTGCCGTGTAATTATTCGAACACGGCCGTCATTCGAAGCGCCAGCCGGATCGGACTACTTGGCGGAGGAGTACATGTACAGTAGCACCGCCTCCGTAACGTTGCCTTCATTTCCAAGAAAAGTTGTCCGCGAGTATATAGTGGTGCGCACTGACAAGGACGCATATTGGATGAGTCATACGGGATGACTCATCACTAGCACTTGCACTGGGGTATACTGTGCCAGTGACAGAGCGTTTATCGCTGACTAACCCTATTTTCCTCTTTCCTGTTTTTTATTCCCCTTCCCCCACTCCCCTACAAGACGCTGCGCCGTGCTCCCTTAAGGGCTGCAGAAATAAGTCTCTTTCCTTTCTTCACCGAACCACTACCACCTATCACTTAGTCTACGAGGGGGGTTGGGGGGGGGTTGGGGGAGAAACCCGCTACGGTGATCTATCTGGTTATGGTGCGCTTCAGCTGAACCGAAGGTCACGGGGTCGAATTCCGGTCGCGCATTTGCACGGATGCAAGAGGAGCGTGTTCTTTAGCTGTAGATGCACGTTAAAGAACCCAAGGGTGTCGAATTTGCCGGAAAACCTTCACTACGACGTTCATCGTATCGTAGTTCCAGGCCGTAAAACATCACTATGGCATAGAGTTCAACGCGAATACACCAGAAGGGACTCTGGCGCTAGTGTCCATGAGAGCTACAACACACGGTGCTTCAGCGAGCATTGGTAGTACGCGACGTTGTTTAATCTTCGGTACTTTCGACTCCGTTTGGCATCGCGTGGATTGGAGCTGCTTTGTCACAAAACAACAACGGGCAAATGTTCAGAAGTTGCACTTCATTCCCCTTAACCTGTTAGGCTTACCAATTCGAAATTGGGTCCAGAGCTTGACAACAGTCCATTCTTTTAGTCGAAACCAAACCGAAACCCCACAACAAACAACAAAACAGAGCCACAAGGGTATTCGAGGCCCGCAAGAACGAGGACTATAGGCAAGTTTGTGTACTATACTCATCATTCCCATGACCATGGTATCTGGAGGACGACAGTGCCAGAGTTTCGTCTAGTTTATTACAGGATCTACGCGCCAAGTAAATAACGTTGGTCGAGGATTCAACGTGTACTCTTTTATCGGATGCGAGGACGATGGCTTTTGTTCACGTGCCGCACATTATCCACGAACGTAAGCTAATATCTCGCATTTCAAGCAGTCTTCGTCTACAGCGTAACTTTTCTTGGGCGCACAGAAGGAGGCCCTTATCAGAAAAAAAAAAAAGGGCTCACGTTAGCGCCTCCTTCTTTCGGTTGTTTTCGCTGCGCACAATTTTATCTTTCGCTTCCCACGCGTCTACTAGGTGCTGAAGTTCACCGAGTGGTTTGAACGAAAAAAATAAATAAATAATTGATGCAGACAAGCAATTTTGTACCCCTGCCGCGCACCGCTGAAAAGGTGCCTCGGGTGTGCCTCCAGGTCTGGAGATCTTCGATTTGTTTGGTATCTTTGTCTCCTGGCAAAAACGATTTCTTTTATTTCGGCGTCACACTAGCTGTCGTCTGCCTTTCTGTAGGAGCGCTCACAGCGTGCTCGATTGAGCACGCTGTCGTGACTGCGTGTCGGTGTATAGCTTTCTCATTAACATTGGCGTAAATCACAGGTCACTGGAAGTGGCGGAGAGGGGAGCCTTTTTGTGTTCAGGCTTGCAGGTGAGGCCCCTCTATCAGATGCATCTTTCGAATGGTTTTTGAAACTCATGACAGTTAAGTATAGAGTGTTCAACGTATATTAGTGCCTGTTTACTGTTGTAGACCGAGTATGTACTCGCGTTTAGTATCGTTCGGCCGTTTGAGACTAATGAAATCGCAACTGCTTTTCGACCGATTTCCCGAGAACCTATGCTTATACTCAAATTTAATTGGAAAGCACGATTTTAATTTTGTATACTTTAAAAATAATACGTTGGCTTGCAAAATCGGTTTGACAGTAATTGGAAGATGTTTATCCTTCCTTGTGAATTTGATGGAGGACACTGACCAATGTCGATCAGTGTTTTTCTTTCATTGGCAACAGAGAGGTGTTTCTGTTGGGCGTCTCACCACCTGGATTTCGTCGTTATGAACGTGGCCTCCGCGATTCACCACCTTGACTGCGCGCTAACGAAACTGATCGTCGAGGCCGCGGTACGAGAAGGAAGCAGACGCTTAGCGATCCGCAATAACCTGCTGTTAAGCGTACACATTTATTATTATTATATATTTTTTGCATTTCCCATGCGCGGAGCACTGTAGTTCATTACACAGTCAAAAAAATTATAAAGGAAATTACGCACGGCTGGCAAATTCGTCGAATTCGCATGAGTCACTCAGAAGGAGCAACTGTAGTGTGTTTGGAAAAAGTGGTTGGCGATTCAGCTTACTTGGTACTCCACTATGGGAGAGCATATTACCCCCAAAGTTCGAACCTTTGTGCCTTCTGCAGCGTATTCACTCTAAGCTGTAGCACTAATTTGCACACGCTGTCACAAAACAAAAAAGGGTGCTTCCTTCCTGCCGCTTCTTGAGCTAATAAATCTGCGAGAATATCGTTGATACGGTACAAAAAAAACTACCGATCTGTTTCTTGGTGGGAACGCATCTACTTCACGAAGTCTCGCACGCTTACATATCGTTACACCTGATGCACGAAAAGTAGCCAGGCAACCGGTGTCAATCAAGCGATTACGAGGGACACGAAGCCGCCATCAGTCTTAGCATCGGCCGCGGCTAGCGATAACAACGGACTCACTGACTGCGCAGAGCGTGCGCTCTGCGGCCAGCGCAGCGCGCCAACTGCCGCGACTCCCCGCCGACGCCAAATGCCGGTCGGTCTCCGTGGCAGAAAAAGAAGAAAGAAAACATGGCCGCTTCTACCGCCGCCATCGCCGCTTGTCTGCAAGCATTCCCCCGGTTTCTCTTTCCTCTCTCATTTTTTTTTACGTCGCTTTACTTCAACGCCTTCGCTTTCCGGGCGCGCCGCGCTCCTTTCCAACTCCGCGCCGACGCGGCACTCTCCCATTTTTAAAAGCCGCGCAGCCGGCGCGCACTGCACGTGGGGAGGCTGAGTGAGACGCTCCGTAAGGCCAGCTACGATTGGACTAGCGGTTTTCCCGCGCTTTTTGCAACGCTATCTCTCATTGGTCGACAGGTCCTCCTCGCTTGATTGTTTCACTCTCTCTGGCGTTGTGTGCAGCGGCGTTGTGCGTGAAGCTACGACGCGGTTCCGCGGAGGAAAATAGTTCTACCCGGTTCTTCGCGATTTAGCCATGAAATACGCAATTACAGGTTAAAAATTTGTAACCAATATTGTCAAATAGTTATAATGAACTAGGTGTTGTGTTTTTCTGGGCGTGTCCTTGTTTACTAGCTTATATGCGCAACCTGCCGAAACGCTGGGGTGTCGGCCCCCTACAAAAGCGTCGCGACGGCGCGCGCCTGCACACAGAGCTGTGCGTACGCTCGCCCGAGTGTGTTGTGTGTGTTATGCATTGGATACCCGTTTGGAATTAAGCGTCCTCCACTGGGATTTTCTTTTCCGAACGGATTACGGAGTCTCTACTAGGTAAGTGTGAAAGTGCCCGGAGACGCGGTTGTCGCATGTTTAAACTTTCCTCGCGCGCTGTCGCGCGAGCCGGATGAAAAGAAAAGAGCGCCGGCGGGGAATGAATGACATTTAAATGGTTGGCGCCGGCATGGCGGCGTTGGCCGCTGACGCTGGCATGCCGCAGGTATGCGGCGTTTCGCCGGTTCGGCATACTTGGTGGCGTTTCGCGTGTATAAAGTTCCACGTATGATCTGCGAGGTGGCGTTTCAAGTTGTCACGTCGGCAGGACCGTGTTGGCACTTGTCGTAGGTTTCGACGTTTTCGGAAGTATACCGGCGTCGTGAGGTGGGATTTCAAGAAAGTGGGCGGACGCCGGCGTCAGCGCCGCAGGCTGGACATTCGCGCCGTATGTTGGCGCCCTGGGTTAGTTTCGCTTGTCGCTTCTGCTTTTTTTTGTTGTTGTCTGAAGTTTAGTTTAGATATAGGTCAGTTAGCGCTGTCGCGTCTGACGCGTTCTATATTCTTTTATATTTTTTTTCGCGTTTACTGTTATGATCTATGAATACATTTTGCGAGTGTTCGATTGAGCCTCGAGGTTCTCAGATTAGCTCTGTTTAGTCGCATCTGCTCACCGAGTTTCGAATCCTGACCGTGTTTTTTTTTGTTTCTAATTGTTATCGTTTCATATAGTTGAGCCACCTGCTGAATCCGTGCGTTTTAATTAGTTGTTGCGCTAGTCCAACCTCACGAATTTACGTATATCTGCACTTAAGCATAGTCTTCGTGTTTATCCGTTTCCGAGATTACGTTTTAACCGTAATCTCAGATTATCAAAACTGATTTGTCGTGTCGCGAAACTACGCGCCGGTACTTTGGTTCAAGCCTGTGCTGATGCGCGCGCATATTTGAATCCATATATTTATTGCGTGCCACATACCGTTGTGGTCGTAATGCTCGCGGGACTGAATCCCAGCCGCATCTCGTCAGAGGCTGAAATGCTAGTGGTGAGTGCTCCTAGATTTAGGTCCACTTTACAGCTCCAGACGGTCGAAATTTACGGAGCACTCCGCTATGGCGCTTTTCGGGATCGTACCGTGGTATTGGGACTCAGTCCTTACGATATTAATCATTGGTAAGTTGCGGGAGTACCTTACAGTATTGGCGCATTGCTCCCTATTTCTCGCTAATGATGTCTCGCTGCAAATACTCCCCCCCCTCCCCATTTTTTATCGAAATATTCAAGCGGTGTTGTCACGCCCCATTGATGTCTCTTAACGAAGAACCCGTCGTTCGGATGCCTCGAAACTGAACGAGCAAGAATGGTTTTGCGTTGGTTTCCGGTTCGATCCTTGATGGCGGCGTTAAGTCAACTTTACATCCACGACAGAATTACTACAACACTAGAAGTTAAACGTTCCCTAAATACGCCCGCCACGGTGGTCTAGTAGTCGTGGTGCTCTGCTGCCGACTCGAAGGTCGCGTGATCGAATTCCGGCGGGATTTTCGATGGTGGCGAAAAAATGCCCGAGGCTGGTGTGCCCAGATTTAGGTGCACGTTGAAAGACCATTTGCTGGTCTGGATTTCCGTGGTTTTGGGACGTGACACCGCACCCCTACAATTAATATATGTGTGCTGCCTGTTAAGCTATTATGGGTGAGGTATCTTACGCGTCGGGCCCGCCTGTCTGTTGGCTTCCCGTTCGCAGGCCAGTTGCAGCCGTCGGTGGCAACGTCGGCGAACCTGCTGTCGTTCGGATGTTCTTGGAACGCTGGCAGTGACGCTAAGAACCGCTCGTCGGCCACGATGATTCTCTCGTCGGCGCTGGACACGTTGAGGCATTTTACGGCTGGCAGCAGCACTGGTCACATGATGTACGACGATGCGGTGCCCTTCCACGCAGTGACCTGCGGGACGTATGCACCCGTGCGCCGCAGTACAGCCCAGGACGAAGCCGAAGAGATTGCCGCCAAGTACCTCAACGGCTACCAGAAGTCCAGCAGCGCTGCCGCTCCTGGCGCCAGCAAGCTAGAAGACTACCAGTCTTCTCGCAAGGACCTCTGCTGCGAGCTGCTGCCCACGCCTCCCCGGTCTCCCGACCGGTCGGACTCGTCCTCTTCTGGCAGCGACGGCGAAGGCTCCACGACGACTTCTGTCCGAGGTAGCGGTGGTCTTGTAGGACTTGTTCACGACGCCAGCAGCGTCGACTTCAGTGACGGTGCGTTCAGCGAGGCCTGGTCCCATTTCGAGATGGACGAGTTGGAGGCGGCGGACTTCTCCTCCGAGGTCTTACCGTCTCCGGAGGAGCAGGAGGTCATCTGTAACATTCTCTTCGAACATGACGACTTCATCGAGAGGCTCCTGAACGACGACGCGGCTCTCAACTCTGTCCTCGTAGGCGGCGCGTCTTCCTCTTCGGAAGACACCATCGAAGACGACGTAGAGGACTTGGTCGCCGAAAGTCCGGTGGTGTCCTCGTCTCCTCTTCCAGTGGCTGGCTGGTACCCCGGCTATCCGGGAGCCCAGTTGGAGGACGAACCCGTACACCAGCTGCTGCACGACTGCATGTGGTCTGGACAGTGCACCGACGACTGCAAGCAGAAGGCGGCCCGCGAAAAGATGTCCGTCTCGTCTCTGCTCTCTTGTTCGCCGTTCGAGGAGCTGGTCATGTCTCCGGCGTCCGCCATGACCCCGCGTTCCCCCGACGACGTCCTGGACATGCGGATTCCTCTGATGTCGCCCGCGGCCAAAGCGACAGAGACTGCACCCGCTACCGTCACTCCCGCTGCCGCCACCTCCACGTCGAAGACCACTTCTACGGTGGCTTCTTCCGGTTGTGGTGCCTCCGCGGTCTGCGACGACGCCCTGGTTGCCGGTCAGTGCGTGGATCCCAGTTCGGTGCTGAGCTACACGCCCCTGAGTGACCACTCGTACCACCAGGCGACCTCTTCGGCGCCCCCGACGCCTCCCGACTCCCCGAAGGCCGTCTCGCAGCAGTCTTCTTCCACGTCGTCGGCGACCTCTAGAGGCGCGAGCAATGGGTCTGCCAGCGTGGGACAGCTCACACTGTACCGTTCACACAACGGCAGCTGGCAACGCGGTGGTGGCATGGTCATGTCGGATACACCGTCTGAATCCGGTAAGCGTTTTCACCTCGTGTATTTTTTTCCTTCTACGTTTGTTTACTTCTACTTCTAGCGTAACACCTAGGTTAACTGGAATTTCACACGTGTAAATCTTTTGAAGGGCGCAACGATTCAAATATGGAGCTCGTCTGTGAAACCATAAGTTTTAAAATCTGGTGTGCCACTGACAGTTAGACGCTGAACTTCTATATTAAAATTTGACCTTTTTTTTCCTAATTCATGATAAAATAACACTGAAATTCAACTACAGTATTATTCTCAGATTGAGGTATCGACGTGACACATTTCGACTCATACTGCTGTTATCGTATCGTAATTATTTTTTCATCTGATCCGAAATTGATTACGTCTGAGACGCTGTCGATTGACCTTGCTTATTTTAATTTATTCAAACTTGATTCATTGTCAATCGGTGAGAAAGCTGACCGGAAAACCCAACTTTGATGTTTGTGTTCTCTCGGAAATCTCGTACGCTTAACAAAAGCTACCAATATAGAATTTAATGTACCTTTAAAATTACTCGGTACGCTATTTATAGGTTGACCTACACAGCAGGCCTTACTTAACCTGCGAAGATCGCAAGTCGAACCCGGATACAACGTGAACGTTGGTAGAAGTCAATTGAAAGCAAAATTTGTGTCTCAGTTCGCGTTCCCAGCTAGGTCCTTCCGTGCAATTTTTTACAACGTCAATGTAAGTATTTCTTTTAGAGCCGTCTGCGCCATTACATAGGGATCAGGCCAATGGTTTCATCTTGAGCGTTCCGCATGCTTTCGGGTATGATCGTTGCGCCAACTCTGGCGTCTTTCCTCTTGGCCTCGCTAAGTGCGTAGGTGCGATAACAGCGCCGTTATCATCCGCTCGTTTCGCAGCAAGAGATTCTTTCGCATCGCGTTACCTCGTACTTTGCGCTGCTCTAATCGGTAATAGTAAGAAAAAAAAAATCGCACCTATATGTCGATTTATGCGGCGGCGTCTCGCATTCTGCAGAAAGTGCACTTGTGTTGCTGTGTTTGCCGTGCTTGTTGGCAGTGATTTATGCGTTAAGAGTGTGCTCTACAAGTATTTGTTGCTGTTCCTGTGTCATCCCTCCCAGACCTTTCGTGAACGTATTATTGGCGAAAGGGTGATATATAGCGTGCTTTAAATCTTCAAGCGTCCCCTTTTCGGAATGACTATTGTGCGTAGTTACGTTTACCAGGTGTTCTGCGCGCTCTGACTCGCGGCATATTTGTTTGTGAGCGCAGTTACGTGGCGTCTAACAACTACGCACAATGTGGCGGCGGGCGCTCAAATGATTTGATTCTCAACCAATCTCAAGTACGGTCTCCATTATTATTCAAGCGAAGCACGCCCACCTAAGCGTCTCGTGTGCTAGCCAGTTGCGTTCTTTCGCCACCTGGAGCTTCGTGTGAATGAAGCCAGATTTTTTTTTCTCCTATGCTGAACTGGCCAGGGCGTCTTCTGTGTTTGCGTTATGGTTATTGACGTAGTCTCTGACACACATCCTTGCGAAGTTTCTTAGATAATGCTTAACGTTTCCTCGCGTCCGGGTTTCTCGCACATCCTGACTGATAAAAACTGCGTTTTCTTGTCTTGCGATTTCCTTCGCGGCGTGTGGTCTGCTCTTCGCGCGCTTTTTCTTTCCGGCTGCCTCCTCGCTAGCGAGCTACGCAGTTGGCGCCAACTGCTCCTTTCGCGCGCTTTTTCTTGCTCTTTTTTTTCCGCGCGCTATCGGAGGTTGCCATGGCACGCTTCAGCGACTAACGTGTCGACAGTGTTGTTACGGTTGCGTTATGGAATGGAAGGATGTTTAATAAAAACTTGGCGTCAGGGCACTTCATCCTAAGAGCAATCTGCCGACCGGCAAATTTGTTTTGCATATAGCATATATTAAGGCGAGCTGACTCAGTCTTCTGGCGACTGGTGTAGCGTCGGTTTTCCGGTAACTTCGCGACGTGATGTCGTCACGGCGCTTAGACAGCTTGTGTGGGCTTGATTACGTCTTTGACAGTGCTAACCTGGTGACTACCTCATCCGTCGGTATTGCGCTTACTTCAAGCCATTGCTACGCAACAGCGAATACTGCGTAGTCGCTCGCTTTCCGCGACAAAATGGATGACTGTTCAATCGATTCCACCTCCGTTGGGCAAGCAGTTCCCCCTTTTTTTTATATACCGGCCATAACGTTGTAGCGCAGAAATGCCCCGTTTTTCGTTTTTTACCTGCGCTACCGCTTGCTGTGCCCGATTACTTTTTGTCTTGACAGTTAATTCGTCAATATTGCCTAACTTCAAAATATTAATCTTCAGTTTCCTTGGCTGGCTACGGGCATCATTCATTCCTATATTTTACACGAACAGTTTTTTTTTTCTTTCACAACTGGGTAGACGTTCGTAGCCCTCAAGCTTGCCCTTGGTTCTTAGAGTTCTATATTGACAAATTTCCTCTCGTATGACCTCACGTATGGTGTAACGTTACTAAACCGTCTGCGTAGGTGCCCCCCCTCTCTCCCTTGTGCACCTGTCGTTGAACCCCGTTAGCTGAAGGTGTTGCGATCCTTCCGCTAAGGATAACGTTGCGTGACCTTGACCCCTTCGTTATGGATAACGTCGTAACCTCGCGCTCCGTCACTAAGGGTAATGAAGTGGCAGTGCAACCTGCCTCCTGATGACAATGTTGCTGTTGTACGCCAAGAATGACGCCAGTTCTAGCACAGCACTTTGGCAAGGATGGTAACGTTATCCTGCGCAGCCAGAAGCATCTTGTGCCCCTATCCCCCATAGTTTCCTAAATATTCACTAGAAGGAACTGCGGCGCTATTGTCTATGGGAGCGGCAACGCATGGCGCTTCAGCGAGCATAGGGATTTGCCTAGTCTTCGTACTTTAAGTTCGTTCTGGCGTCGTGTGGCTTGAACCTGCTTTGTCACGAAACTATCGGCAAACGTTCGGCAGTTACGCTTCATCACCTCAATCTTTTTTTAGGTTTATCACTTCAAATGGGGTCACGAAGTGAAAAACGGTTTGTTCTTTCCTTTGAAACGAAACTAAAACGGAGCAATAACCAGTGCGTTCGCCGCCCGCAAGCACGAAGATGGGTAAATTCGTGTCGTACCCATGATTCCCATGGTCGCTGAACGGTCGTAGGTGCCACAGTCACCGCTAGTTAATTTTAGGAAACTGTGCTATCTCCCTCCCCCGTTACACTTCGACGCTTTCTCGTAGACTTTGACGCTGCCGTTCTCTGCACGGCGCTACACCGCTTCAACAAACGCGTCCATGTTTGTGTGTTGGTCGGGCGGCTAGCCGTGCTTCTCGGCCTCCGAGAACGTGCCATTGAACCTACCGGCGTCTCTCCCACCATACCAAAGGCCGCCATCGTCTGGTCTCGTCGTACACGATGGCGAAGGAGAGGACGACCGACGCGAGCCCTTCTCCCGCGTTGTGGTGGTCGTGCAGCAGACGACTTTCGAGTCGTCCACACCACGCCCGCCTTCCCTTCCCACCAGACGCCGTCTGGTGTGCTGGAGTGGTAGGAGAGAAGCGTGTCGGCGTTTCTGGATTCCTTTCTTTCTGCTTGGAGTGTTATGCGTGTTTAGTCCCATTTCTTTCGTTGTCAATCTTGCTGCGTTTCGCCTCCTTTGTTCTTTGAGAGAGGACAGACGGAGCAAGAGAAGGGGGTGGGTGCACAGCCCGCGCCGCTGGTTAAAGACCCGAGCGGGCGCTGCTGGCTAGGCCAGCCCGACGCGACGCTTTTTGCGCACCAAGGTCGCCGCCGACCGAAGCGCCGGCAGGGCGAGAGGGCGTTGCGCTTTCGTTTGGATGCGTTTGCTTCGCGTCTCTCTGCCTCTCCTCCTCCGCACCGCCTCTCGCACCTTCCTAACGTGGCGTCGCTGACGTTGCGAGGTTGTGCTTGCGGAAAGAGTTGTGAGCGCAGCGCGCCGGCTCTTTTCTTTCCTTCTCGGAAGAGGACAACTACGGAAGGAAGCTTTTGGGGGAAAGGGCGCTGCTTTCCTCTTCCTCAAAGCCCGGGGTTCCGTCCGGACACCCCGGGCTCCAGACGCCGCCAGCTCCGACCCGGGCTTCTGGCGCGATCGATTGAAGGTTGCAGTGCTTTCGGGCGCGCTGGCAGCGCCGAGGTCCTTCACCTCCTTTCTCTTTTTTTTTTTTTTGCGGTGGGGGGGAGGCTTTTTTTTTGCGGTGGGGGGGGGGGAGGCACCGGACTTTTCTAGGGCTGTGTGTGTGTTTGGCTGCGGCGGCAGACGACCTCCGAGGGGTTTGGGTGCCGTGCCGCATTGCCGTGTTTGTTGGGGAAAGGGAAACGAAACGTGGGGGAGGAGGAGTGCGTTCTGCGTATTTGTGCGTGATGATGAACTTAGCCTCTTTTTAGTTTTGTGGTTATTTTCGCTCCTCTTTTGGTGTCAGAAAGTGGAGTAAAGAGAGGTCCTTGGCTTCTTTCGTCAGGGTCGTTCAGAGGTTGTCATTGGTTTGACCGCTAGTTTTCTCTCCGCTGGAAGTTACGCATTCGTTCGCGCCTTTTCCAGGAATGCGTCGCGTTGTCGGCAAGCTTTTTTCTTTCTTTCAAGGAGTGTGACAGGCGTATCGAAGGGTGGGCGTTAGCAGCGGGATCGCTGTTTTGATTTGACGGCAGTAATTCGGCGAAGCGCCTGAGCAATATTTTGTGTTTGGCGCTTGGATGTTAGTGCTTATATATAACTCTGGAAGGCCATTCTTTGAATAAAGGCTTTGTGGAAAGTCGTAGCCCTGAAGACAAGCACGTAAAAGAGCAGCTAGGGAGAGTCGGGGTGTCAATCAAGCCGTAGCAGTTGCGACATATTCACGAAGTGCATTGACACAATATAGTCCAGTCACGTGAACACTGCTCGCATAAAATGCAGTCACACGATCACCACATGTGCGGAAAATAACACTGTGCACTTTTTCCCTGTGGTGTCGGTGACACGACTCGGATATTCAAGCTTTTAAAAGAGC